CCCCTCAGCCTCCTCTTCTCCAGACTGAACAGCCCAGCTCCCTCAGCCACTCCTCAGAAGACTTCTCCAGACCCTTCACCCCTCGTTGCTCTTCTGCTGTTTGCAGCATTTTCCCCTCTTCCATTATCCCAAGGATTTTCCAGCTGCTGCTTTTCCCCGCTGCTCTTTCCTAAGGCGTGAGGAAGAGGAGGGACGCGGCCAAATGGATGCTCTGGAGTGCAGGAGGGGAAAGGATCCCGCGGGCTGGAGGAGCAGGTATTGCCGGGCTGCGGGGCAAAGCATCCACCAGTGCGCTGAAGAGAGGAACAGCTTTTATTGACATTATTTATTGATTTGATTGAATGCCCCCGACCAAAACATGGGGGAAGCTGATGTCCATCGCCCAAGCCAGGGACCGGGCTCTTCTCCTGCCACCGCTCAGTACTGGTCAATCACCTGAAAGGAGAAGAAAGGCAATGGCTGAGCCAACCAGGGACCGAGCTGGTGCGTCGGTGCAACGACAGCACCAGGTCTCAGCTACCGGCCACCCGAGCCCTGCCGTCGCCTTACGCTGTCAATCCAGGAGATGTAGGCAGAGACGCGGGTGAAGACGGTGGGTTTGCGCGAGACGTTGCAGCCCAGACTGGAGACGAAGCTGGTGACGCCGTGGACCTGGTACTCCCCGTTCACCTTGCAGTTGAGGGGACCACCCGAATCACCCTGCCAGAGCGAGGAACCCATATGAGATGGGAGCAACGGGGATGCCAGTGGGATGCTGGGGATGCCCGGGGACGTACATTGCAGCCGGCACGGACGCCGTCACCACCGGCACAGACCATGGTGTTCTTGACGGTGGAGCTCCAGTAGGAGGAACTGGAGCAGGTCTGGTAGTCCACCACGGGCAGGTAGGCCTGCAACAGGACGCTGGAGAGCTGCCCGTTGGCTGCACGCAACCGAGCACCGGTTAACGCCGCACCGGCAAAGACCTGCGAGACCCGCAGCAACCCACCCCCTCCACAAAGCAGAGCCTGCAGCCACCACTGAGCCCCTTGTCCCGCGTAAAACCCCCCTCAAACCTTGGCACGACGCTACCCAACGTTGGGCATCCCCATGCCTGGAGCGAAGCCCTGAGTGATGCCTCCTGGGACCTCAAAAGGCTTAAAAATATCATTCAGCTTGCCCCGTTTCCCACATTTTTGGGGTGATAGAGGGCCGGGGCGACCCGTCGGCACTCACTGCGGGTGAGACCCCAGCCGGTGATGTAGCAGGGGTAGTCGTTGCTCAGGATGGTGCCCGACGAGGGCAGGACTGCCAGCTGCACGTAGCTGTTCAGGGTGACGGAGCTGGACAGGCGGAGCAGGGCGATGTCGTAGCTGGCGAGAGGAGAGAGAGGATGTTGGAAGGACCCCCCAGCTCCCAGCGACGCGGCCTCTTCAAGCCCCCCCTCCCCACGGGCGTTACCCCGCGGCGACATTGTTGCTGTTCCAGGAGGGATGGATGATGATCTTGCTCACGCTGATGACCTGCTCGGTGCCTTCGGTTGAGTCGAGGTTGTGTTCGCCGGCCACGATGCGGAAGCTCCGGTTGCTGCCGGGAAGGAGAAAAAACACGGGATCAGGCCATAAATTGTTATTATTTTAACCATGAGCTGACATGGAAAGGATCAGTGCAAGAAGATGCTCCCAGAGATGGTCCATGTAACCCCTAAAGGAGGACCAGTAAAGACCCTAAAGGACCGTTGCTCCCTGGGTAGGGGCAGTCAAAATTTCTCCTTGGAAAGGTTTTTGGTGGAAAACCGTCTTTTGCACAAGAGGGAGGTGGGGACCCCGCGCCCGCTCACCTGTCCACGCAATGGGCTGCCGTCATCACCCAGTTCTTTTTGATGAGGGACCCTCCACAGGTGTGATGCCAGCTGCCACTTGAGGAATACTGGAGGGAGATCTGCGGAGAGGGGGACGCGAGACATTGGGGGGTGTCACCGCGTGGTCCAGGGGCGGTGAGAGTCCCACGGGATTTACCGGCTGACCTCGGGAAGAACCCACCTGGGAGGGCCAGGCGTGCGAGCTCGCCTCGGTCCCCCCGACCACCCGTTGCATCCCATTGAGAACCTGCTCGGAGCAGCCTCCTGCAGGAGAGAGGACGGGGAGCGGGGAGTGAGCCGCGACCCGGGGGCGTTTGAAGTTTAAGGTGGCAAGACAAGCAAGCAGCCCCAGTCTCTGTGCCTCTGTGCGGGCGACTGCTTCCCGCGGACGACGCACCGCAGAGGGCGAGGGCGGCGAGGAGCACGAGCTGCAGCATCATCCTGGACCACGACAGCTCTTCGACTGCGGTGGGGGCTGCGCTGGCGGCGGCTTTAAAGGGGACGGAGAAGGAGGGACGGGAAGAAACCCAGGTGCCGCAGCCCTATCGAGCAGCCTTGGTCCCTCTTCCAAAGGACGCACGGCCTCGACCTTCGGGGCTGGAAACGCCCGGGTGCACCCCAGCTCTCCCTTGGCTTTGGACAGGCAGCCCAAATCCCTGGGGGGACGATGCCCTCATCTTGCATCTGCCTCTTCTGCGCATCTCAGGCAACATTGTCCTGAGTTTCTCCCGGTCTCGAGGCCCTGCGGTCGCCCCAGCTGTGGCTCTCGCACCGCGTTTATCCGTGGGATGCGTCGGAGAGTTTTGTCCAACACATGCAGGGTGCCTGCACGGACCCCGGGACGGGGAAATCGAGGCAAACGCTGGGCAAGACCCTCAACCCCTCCAAGAAAACCCCAGCCAGGACTGGACACGACCTACACAGAGCATTCTGAGGTTAAACGAAACACCAATGTGGTTTGCGATAAAAATCTGATTCCTGGCCAAATCAGTTTTAATTTTTTCCCCTTTTGAAAAGCAATGGAGGCCTTCGGGGAGGCGAAGCTGCGGCAGCAGCGAGGTTTTTCGCTCTGCTGATGGAGCAGCCGCTGGAAAACAACTGGAAAACAAGATTTGTTATAGGGGCGATTAAATGTTCATCCAGTTCAAAAAAAAAAAAAGGAAAGAAAAAGGCCACCTGCTGCATTTCTGCTCTTATCTCTACGGAAAACACGAGATTTCATGGCTAAAATGGTCTCCGAATAATCACTTAATTGGTTTTATCAGTGCAGGAGGGAACACAGCAAAGGACAGCAGCAAAGCCTCCGCCCCCGAGCAGGGGTGCCCCAACCTACATTTGAACCCCCCCAGCTGGACAAGTCATTGCTGCTGTGGCTTTAAATCCACTTTTGGGCTGCAAAAGGGAGTTTCCAGGGTGAGAAGCGGGAGGGAAATTAAGTTGGAGGAGGAGTGGGAGCTGGGAGAAAGCCAGAGACGGGACGTCCGTAAAATAAATCATCTCTTTATTTGAGGTTGTGTATCCAAAGGCAGGTTCTCCCACCCCCACGCCACTTCCAGGAGGGGTTTCGCCCCCTGCTATAATGAAATGGCGACGGGAGCAGCAGCTACAGTAGTCGGGCTGGAAGAAAAACAGGGAAGGGAGGAGATCTCACGCCCAGGTGCCGGTGAGAGCCTCTCCGGGAG